ACCCCTTTCCCCACCCCTATCTCCACACCCATCTCCACCCCTTTCCCAATCCCTATCCCCACCCCTATCTCCATCCATTTCCCCATCCCTACCCCCATCCCTACCCCTATCCCAATCCCTATCCCCACCCCTATCTCCATCCATTTCCCCATCCCTACCCCCATCCCTACCCCTATCCCAATCCCTATCCCCACCCCTATCTCCATCCATTTCCCCATCCCTACCCCCATCCCTACCCCTATCCCAATCCCTATCCCCACCCCTATCTCCATCCATTTCCCCATCCCTACCCCCACCCCTATCTCCATCCCTACCCCCAGCCCTAACCCCAACCCCAGACAGTCAGCTCCACAATACCAGCAGCACTGAGGTCACTCCTCCTCATCCTAACCTGGAATAAAAAAAGGCTGCTGGCAGAGCGCCCCCTGCTGGGCCACGCTGCAAACTGCTGCTGTGACAATCCCAACGTGATGGAGAGCCTGCAGCATACAGGTGGTCTGTTCCCTCCCCCTGGTCCTCACCTGTCCTGCCTGTCTCTGTCTCTGTCCCTGTCCCTGCTGTCTGGCCGGTAGTGGTCTCTGTCCCGGTGGTCTTTGCCATTGCTGAAGGAGGAGTAGGGCCTTTTTCTGGACTCAGACGTCTTCCTGAGGGAATCCAAGCTGTGTTTGTCTTTACTGCTGCTTTCGTTCCGGCCTGACGGCTGATGCCTGTCCGAGCTGTAGCTGTCTCTGCTGCTCTCGTCGTGCTGGGAGCTGTCCTTCAGCCTCTCCACATCTGAAGGCAGACAGGGCCAGAATGAGTCCACAGTGGCACATCTGGCTCAGTTTAATCAGGACAAAGGGGCCGTACCTGCGTGTCTGTAGCCGTGAGTGTTCATACTCCTAGTGTTTTGCTCCATCGCCTGAGGAGACACAGTCAGCATGGTGGACATCACAGCTAACTCACCAGATTAGGCAGGAGGGGGCTCACGTACCTGGGCGTTTTCCTGTCTTTTCTTAATTGCATGCTTGTAGAGTTTGTGTAGTTTTCTGGCATCAAACTCGGTGAATTTGGAAACAAATATCCACAGGTTCCTGTCAACAAAAACAGGAGATGAAACACGGTCAGCTGATGCTCCGCAGCCCAACAGGCTCAGCTGCTAACGGCCTACTGACTTCCTCCACTGTTTGATCAGGTCCGGGTTGGAGTACTCCTTTAGACACTCAGTGATGTGGTCTCCGATCTTGATGAGGCATTGTCTGGTGTGTTCCAGCTGCTCCCGCTCTGAGAGGCCCTTCTCCGGCCGGTCCAGCTGCTTCAGGGCAGCTTTCACTGGCCGCATCCTCTCCTTACACTGAAACATCCAACAAGGAGACGTGCACGACTTAGTTTAGTCCTGACCAGCATCATGCAGCACTACGGCCTCATGCTGAACATCTGCTTTTCCATGGATGCCTAACGGGTAAAAGCCCCCTTTATTATTGATACAGCTCAACTTCAGGGGCAGAGTCCTGCTC